ATGTACGTCTTCTGAGGAAAAGATCACTCTACCAGTGATCTACAGTTTATAGAATATACCCACATCTATCTCTGCTATAACACTCAGTAACAGCGTAAACTGCATCCCTGCCCAAGAAACAATCTTTCCTCTTTCCCCTCCACTGTAGGCAGTAATCTACACTACCCATTATTTTATCTTCCCTGCCCTAGTACAAAGGCAGATCTGCAAAGTGTGAAATTCACAATGGTTCTCAACTGAACACTATGTATATGTGCCCTCACTTCATACCTTCCCAGCATCTTTTCTCTTCACCCTATTAGTTCTGCCCCACTTATCTTAGAGATTTTTATGCCTCCCACCTACCTTTAATGTATGGCTGGAGCAAAACTTTTAGTGAGTTCATTTTTTAAAAATCCTATTTCTGCTTTCCAGAGATGTAGCTTCAGCTGGTTAAGTAGGTTAAGACTCTTAGGGGGACAACATCTCAGTTACAATTAATAAGACAAAAATTTGTTTGAAAAATATAGTTACTCAGCTAAGGAGCCAGCCAGTATCCACCCAGGCTTCAATGTAGCTGGTCCAAAAAGTGTCTCTAGAAGCAGGGTTAGAGAGTATGCCGATAAAATATTCTGAAGAATGTTTGCCATCCAACACAACCATAGGAGTTGAAAGCAGAAAAGAAATCAAAGTCCACTGACACACAGGTTGTTGCAAAGGTCACGCAGACAGGTAGCACATCTGGACTATGAACCCAGATCCTCTATCTAAAGGCAGGCAGGTGGAACAGTGGCTAGATTGCGGGGCCTAGTACCAGGAGGAAGGTCCGAGTTCAGATCCAGCCTCAGACACTTAATAGCTATGGCCCTTGGCAAATCACTTAACCTGTTTACCTGTTTCCTCAGTTTTAAAATGAAGATCATAACACCTACCTTCCAGGGTCGTGAGGGTCAAATGAAGTATTTGTAAAATACCTGGCACGTAGCACATGCTATATTAATGATAGCTATTATAACTTATGAAATTTACTACTTATTGCTACATGATTACTTATAAAACTCCTTTCTACTTTATCTCACTGTTTTGTTGCCTTTCTCTACCTATGTAACCAATTACGTAAGCAAGGGAAGATCTCCAGCAGTGGACCAGGTTTTTTTCCCTTTCACGAAGTGTGGGTCACCCACTCTGACCTTTGTGGGTCATATGTAATAATCATGTGATCACATTTAATATTCAGATGGTTTTATTAACAAGTTTATAATACATATATTGCATATGGTATATAGTATATGAGGACTGTACAGTACAAATTTATGTTCACAGTTTGACATGACAAAATGTCATTACTGAATTCCCATTGGACTACCAAAGTAGAAACAGTGAAGGTACATTAAACATTCACATCTTTAGTAAGAAAGATTACCAAAATGTTTCAGTATTTGCAAGTTATACTAATGCATGCTAAAAACCTTTTACCCATTCAGTCTTATTAGCTTATAAAATATATTACACTTTATTAAAAATTTCTGCATAGTTTACACAAGTATTAAAGTACTGTAAATGTAATAATCCTGCTATATTGGCAGGTATGGTTTAAGAGATGCTAAGCAGAAAGATTATTTTGACCCTCTAACATTAAGTACATAAACAGCTGAGAAAAAAAGTGCTAGTATTTGTAAAACATAACGTTGCAGCCCTCGTTTAATGCATGTAAAATGGCTTTATTTTAGAAAGAATTCTCAGTCGTTTTAGAAGTCGTTAACCTTGACTGAAAGGGAAAAGAAGACAACATATTCTGACCAACTTTATGTATTCCAGGGATTAATCAAGAACTATGGTATATTTTTTTAAACAAACGAAATCACTGCCCAACCTGCTTCCTTTGAAGAGATTGTCTTTAAAAATAAACCGATCACAAATGACACACAGGGCTATACAGTATCAGCAAAATCATCTAAAATTCCTTATTAGTGCAATACTGATAGTGCAGATCAGTGTTTCATTTTAAAAAATATACGTCTAGTTCTCCTATGAACTGTTTCAAGGCTCTAGAGAACCTTCTGCTAATTTAGCATCTCCTTAGTTGTATGTAGTAGCTATTCTGCTAATACATTCCCCAACCCAAAAGTCCATTAGAAAGTTAATGCCCATTGAAGATGTAGATTCACATTTAAAAACTCTAATAGAAGACAGATTTAATGTCAATTTCCTGATTTCTTCCCCACGACACTTAAGTAATTCGAGAAATCCATAGCAAATGGAATTAAAAAAAAATTCCATGTGTACAAACAATTATAGTTGATTAAGGATGTTATTACTAAAACCACCATTGAGAATGACAGGGTATATAACATAAAAATATTTTCAAGGGCATTTCAAGATTATGCTGTATTTGAGTCCTTCCATAATAAACTGCTAAAAATTGCTAAGAGACTAGAATTTTCATCTATGATAGTAAAATACAATATTTATAAAAGAGAATTTGGTAAAAGGCCAAATATATAAACTAAAGATACAGAAAGTAACATGGGAACACACATCATGTCTCAGGGTTGCTTTCCTTTTGAAGTTGATTGTTAATGGCTCTTTGTTACTGAAACAAACCGATGCTAAACAAATTAAAAGCATTGATGACTATCTCTGAAAGCTCGTGTTAACTATTTCTAACATAACTTAAATGTGCCAAATAGGCAAACCACAAATTTCAGTGTACCCCATTCTATTATATAGACCCATACAAGTAACAAAATCATACACGTTACTTTTTTGAGGGCAGAACAACACAAATTACGTTCATTTGGTCAGATAAGCCCTTTGTATTCCATTCCATCTTGGTTCTTGACGTAATGGCAACTCAAGCTGATGTTCTGGCATGAATGTGGCATCACGCACATGACAACAAACCTCTTCATGTTTTTTTGGGGGGGAGGGGGGTGTAAGGGAGGAAGTGGGGGAAGGACGGATCAAATTTTGAATTCATATTTTGATTAATAAGTTGAACCAAATTATGCACTACTTAGGAAAACCCCCCAAAATAATTCAGATAAGCCAAGATAATATATTCATTTGCATAACATCTTATCAACCAAAATGTAGTAATCTTACTCATCAGGTGGATCATCAATGCTGGAGAAATTGGGTATAGAGATTTGAAAAACACACAACTATTCCATATTTGACTTCTTGGAAAATGACTTGGATTTCCCGATGCTTAGTTTACTACCATCGCGGCTGGCTGTTCCATGTAATTCATCCAGGATTCAAAAGGTGATAGAATCTTCAAGACGCCAAATTACACAAGCCCTCTTTCGGTCATTACTGAAACCAAGTCACACTTTTTTTTTTTACAATATCAGTTGAATGGTACCAAGGGGTAAACTTCATTTGCTCCTCTCCTCTCCCCACTTCTGCCAAAGAACGGCAACATATTTAATCGTAGGTGCCCACTTTTGGTCCTGGGTGCCCTATCTGCCAATTTAGAACGTGATATTTATACTCCTAAATATCCCAGGGTTGTGACAGTACTGCTCAAAAGCCAGCTTTTGAGGAAGAACCTCCTCACGGGATCGGTGCTGCTTATTTCAATCCCAATTTAAACAGGGATCGTGACTTTCGTACGCTCATCCCACTGTCAGGATACCTAGTATGGATGGCACCTTGCTTGTTCCAATCATCCTGTGGGGAATCTCTGAGTATGCTACTCACTAACGGGAATAATTGTGAATTGACACACATGAATCCCTGAATGGTGGTTTGCTAAATTATTTGGAAATCTGTTATAGAAGTACGGTGTGTGTGCTTCGTATTAACTAGTTATATTTACAAAGTGTCACTTAGAGGTCTTAAATTGAATGAATCTACCAAAGCATTAACAGATGCTTCTTTAGGATGCTTATTATAAACACAGATGAGAGCCAAGTTGGCACATTATAGCTCATGCAGAATCCAGTTTCTGCATAAGTGTGTGTAACCTATTAGGTTATGGGAATATTGTTTGTAAATATTTCATTGTTTAAAAGCTATGCGCAGATACAAGAAGATGCCATCTGGAACCCAGAAGATTACTAAGTTAAGGAAGATTATTTTTTTGCAGTTACCCCGATCAACTCTTCAATTATTCATCCATATGGTTGCACGGATGACCCAGTGTTAAAGAACTTAGGTGGTTTGTGCTTCATCATGGTACAAATGTGCACAGGCATGCATGGAACATGGACTGAGCACGTTGGAAGACCCCGGGGGGTAGCAGCTAGGTGGCACAGTGGATAGAGCACCGGCCCTGGATTCAGGAGGACCTGAGTTCAAATCTGGCCTCAGATACATAACACTTACTAGCTGTGTGACCCTGGGCAAGTCACTTAACCCCATTGCCTAGCCAAAAAAAAAGAAAAAAAAAGAAAAGGAAGACCCCAGGGGCAGGGGTGAGGGAGTGGGAGAGCATTCTCATTTACCTTTGCCAAGAGAAGAAACAAAGGCCAATAAGAAAATGCTTTCCCAGCGTGTGCCAGCACACCGGCCCATGCTAGAAGCATGCTTATGTTAGTGTGTCTGATGCTCTGGGGATTTGAAGCACTTCAAATAAAATAATAAAGTCAGAGAGGCAGTCTTAACACCAGGTTATCCAGATCTTCTGGTCTCCCCCCAATCCCCACCCCTGTTCAACAACTCCTTGCTCCCCACTTCATGGTGGACACAGAGGGCATTCTCTAGGACTGATGCCCCAGACTGAGGGAGCAGCATGAGCTCATCTTCCCATCTTTAAAACATTTTCGACTGGGCTGAACACAGGAGGTTGAGATAATGAATACTGTCAAAGAACACAATGTAGATGAGATGATAAATTCAACTTCTGACAAGTGGGATTCATTGAGAATAAATGAAGAGTTGACCGCTGATAAGCATCTCATCTTGCACAGTTAACCCAGGTCAGGAAGGTTCCATTCCTTCCAATACTGAGCATCAAATAAGATTCTAGGGCCCATAAACATGAAGATCTCTGGCAAGAACTAGCAGTCTAGATATTGTATTTCTAATACATTTACTGGTTTGTCGATATATGATGACTGAATACATGGAGAAACCGACAAATGGCTATGTTAATTTACACATTCCCTTATTTGCAGTACATTAAACATGTCTATAGAGGAAGGGTTTGCTTAGCATCCCCAGAAAAAAAAAAAGTGTTCACATTCTTTAGGTCTGACCCGTGGTAAGGAGAAAGGAGGGTTAGATACCATCTATTACTGACCACATGGAAGTTTTTAATGGTATAAACTCAGTGATTCAGACCAGCTGAATCAAAATTAAAATGTACATGTAAAAAAATGAGTTAGAGAAAGGGAGGGAGACGGCGGAAGGTGGAAAAGGGAGTTGATCCAGGAGATGGATGTGTTCAGACTAGCATGTGGCGTTTCCTATGGAGAGCAAGGTGATCAGAGCGAGAGAAGCTTCGGTCACAGTCTGGGCACTGGAAAGGTTTAATCCCAGTATGTTTTCGAAAATGCCTTGTTAGTTCATCAGACCGAGCAAATTTCCACGTGCATCCCTCCCATGTGCATTTGTAGGGTTTTTCTCCTGCAAAAGAAAAGAGGGAACATGACTATTTAAAAAATAACACTAATAATGACAGCTTAACACTTCTAACTATGAGGTTCGGTGAATATTGCTTCTGGGCCATTTCCCCTATAGAGTATTTTAAAATACAGTTCCTTAGAAGGATGGGCAAATGAATGCATTCTCTAATGTTTAACTGAATCTGTGCCAAGAAATAGCATTTAAAAAGTTACTGCTAAAACAAAAGGCAGGACTGAACAAATGCTCTGGAAGCCTCCACAAGCCGCAGCAGGTTTGGGGAGTTCTATCCTCTCCCAGGAAGTGTGAGTATTTGCTCCAACTGATAAATACACTTGATTCAGATTCTTAAGCTTATTTGAGGGCCAAGGTGGTATAGTGGAAAGAGCACGGAATTTAGCATCAGAAAAACCTTGGTTCAAATACATGCCCTGACACTTATATTTTCTGTGACCTGGCTGATCTTGGACAAAATAACCTCTTTGGGCTTCAGTTTCCTCATCAGAAAAGATGAGATGGGGATTGGACTAAATCTGGAGTGGGGAACCTGCGGCCTCGAGACCACCCTGTCGAAGGGCTGCACTTGAGGACCCAGACCTGGAGGGCCACATGTAGCCTCGGGGCCAAAGGTTCCCCACCCCCGGACTAAATGATTTCTAAGGTCCATGTTCCAACACTCAAATTACTATTACTGTTTTGAGATATGTCAATTAAGAGACTGATGGACTTTTCTTGGTCTGGATCACTAGATAAACCAAATCTCTTTTCAATCTGAAGGACTCATCAAAAAACTCACACATCTCCTTTACTAATTCTGAAGTGACATGTGCCTCATACAGTACCTTAAATCAAGGGAATTCTAAAAGTATCAACATTAACTGCCAAGAGGAACTCTAAATGCTCAAAGTGACCTCAAAGGTCATTTGACGTCACCGCCCCCTCATCCCCCAACTGGGTCATGAGGTAACTTTGAACACGTAGAGTTCCTCTTGGCAGTTAATGTTGATACTTTTAGAATTCTCTTGATTTAAGGTACTGTATGAGTCACGTGCCAAGGTCAAGTAACTAGAACTGTGATAAGACCAGGATTGTTTCCATTATACCATGACGCTTGCCCATGATCTCTGTTCATGCTTTGTTTTCCTAAAAGGCAAGTGCCCAAGAATGTCCTAAGAGCTGCTCCTAGAGTATTGTGGGCTTTAAACACTGTGCAAATGAAGACAGGGCAATGCTTCCTAGAATCCCAGTGCTACGGATCTGGGAATGGATACAATCAATCACTTGGACGTTTTCCCGACCTTCCCTGATCAGCAACGACTCCAAATGGCATCCACTGCTAAGAGTCCCAATTCTACTAAATTACTTCCCTGTTGCATGTATTAAAAAAAGAAAGAAAAAACAAACAACCCCTTTCCCCCCTCATAACTTCAAATTCAAAATTTTCCTCATCATCTTTGTTGCTACATGGCATAGTGGATCAAGCTGTAGACTCAAGCGTCACGAAGACCTGAGCTCGAATCCAGCTGTGACAGTGAGTAGCTACGTGACCTTGGGTCTAGTCCCTTAACTGCTGCCTGCCTGTTTCTTCACAACTATAAAATGGGGATAATAATAGCATCTATCTCCTGGGGTTGTCATTAAGGACCAAATTAGGCAACATTTGTAAAGCACTGTGCAAACATTACAGTGTTATATAAATGCTATTATTCTTATTCTTGTTTTGATATTCTGTTTAATTATTTTGACAAATCTTTCAAGGTCAAGATGATAGGTCCAGAGTTCCAGTTCGACACGATGCCTTCATTATTATTACTATAATGATGTTTACTATTAATCAACTCTTTCCCCAAAGCTCAAACAGAAGCTAAAAGCTGTAACTGGGTCACTCTGGTCATGTCCTTCTTCAAAGGAAAATAAAGCAGCCCTGTGCACATTCGTACCTGTATGTGTTCTTCTGTGGGCTTTCAGGTGAGAGCTCTTAGTGTAGACTTTATTGCATCCCTCATAATCGCATCTGTGTATCCTGCGTTTTCTTTGCGTATCTGGAGACTCCACTGGTAAGGGTCTCTTTCCAGGTTGTACTATGACTGAAGGGTGGTTCCTGTCAAAAGTTAATTTAATAAATCTTAAAATGCCAGACAAAAAAATCTAACCTTGTGTACTTCGTTCTATGCCAGTTAATTTATGTTTACTAGTAAGCACCTGCAATGGCCTTTTTTAGTTCTGTCCACTTATAGCATTTTATCACAGAAACAAAATGATTAGATACTTTTCATAAGCTGCCTTGAGTTTAGCATAGGCCAAATTCCTGTCTCAGGCAGCTATACTTTAAGATTTACCTTGGGGAGGGGGATGGCAAAGAGACTGGAATGGGAGTGGTCTCTAATAGAAGAAAATTTGCTTTTAATTTTTAAATAATAGCTCTTCTGTATCATCAAAGTAATCATTCCTTTGTCTCCACAAAGAAAAAGCTTTATGGTCACTGCCACTCCTTAGAGTAGCTGAGAATTTCCTGTTTAGTGTTGGCAGGTGGGTGTGGCCTCCCCTTACCCCAGGCATCAATTCCTAAAAGAAGAGTTCAGACAGTCATCCTGCCCACAGGACATCTGAAGTTGGCTTTCCACCTTCACAAACAGCAAACAGCTGGCTTATCTTAACCCCACAGGTACATATATTCCTGTGAATCCCTACCTCTCTCAAATGGGACTTCGAAGTAACATCATTAATGACACTCATTACTGTCAGTAATCTTTTGGTTTTAACTTTTTGCATCTCTAGCACTCTACACATAGTTGCTTATAAGTGCTCAAATAAGATCCTGTTGAGTAAAGGGCTTTGTAAACTTTAAAACACTATAAAAACAGCAGCTATTCATTAGGAACATTAAAAGTCATTTTCCCTATGGCTTAAGAAAAAGTTGAAATCCAGATTAACAGTTTAGCTAATTTTTTACATGTATTTTTCTAAGGACTGAGATTAATCCAGGGTTCATATATGTATACTTGATACTTTTTTACCTTTTAATTAAAAAAAAAAACACATGCTTATACAGCATCTGGCTCCAATTTCAATGAAAAACTTTTTTCATTTTTGTAACTGATGACACAGACACTGAAATGTCAGCAAGTCTCAACTTGTCCCTAGCAGAATGCTTCTGTATTTATAGAAAGGAAAAAAAGTCCCTAAACTAAGCAGACCCCTTGGGATGACCCTTGATCCCTTGAAGCCTCTTTTTCTCTGCCTCCAGCCCACTTTGGGACCTGTCTCACACACTTGATCACATTCTATATTACAATCATTTGTATTCTGTATCTTCTTTTCTCCTACTAGACTATGTGCTCCTTGAGGGCAGGGATCATACCTATCTTCTTTGCTCCCCGAGGCCCTATAGTAAGAGTGTGTTTAATGAATGTTTAAGAAATGAGTCAGGGGCTCAGGGATAAAACTGGTTACTCTGGAGAGAGGATATTCTACAAGGAAAGATCAGGGTGTAGATGAGAATTACCTATGGAAGGATCAAGAATGGAGGAAGAAGGGAAACTGGACGAATTTCAAATCAACATTTATTAAGCTTGTATTACATTGTGGTGAAAATGCAATTACTGTTCATGTGTAAAGAGATGAGAAATCAAACCAGGAACACTTCCACTCCAATGGCATAATTTTTCCTTTATGCTTACTTAGAGCAAATCTTTACAGAAGAAAATGTCACATCTTAAAAGTCAATAGCTAGATGATGCCATTTGGGGAGTCAATTACCTAAAAATTCGCTCCTCTAATCACGTTGAACTATAATGATAATAATAAATGATGATAATAGCTAACACTGGTAACACTCCTACCTCTGTGCTAGGCATTATGCCAGATGGTTTACAATTATCATCTCATCTAATCCTCCAAACAGCCCTGAGAGGTAGGTGCTATTATCATCCCTTTTTACAAATAAATGATGCAAAGGTTAAGTGACTTGTCCAGGGTCACAAAGTTCCTAAGTGTCTGAGGCCAAATTTGAACATAGGTCATCCTGACCCCGGATCCAGTGCTCTATCCACTGTGCCACCTTGCTACCTTATGTGTATTATCCATGTGACTCAGCTTGAAATGCAACAATATTTCTTTTTTAAAAAAAGTGAACAAGCTAAGGTATATGATTGTGACATAATACTACTGTGCTGTAAGAAATGATAGGCAGACTGACTTTAGGAAAACATGGAAAAACTTGCATGAAATAAAGAAAAGTGAAAACAAGCAGAACCCAAGGGAACACTGTATACAGTGACAGCCATATTGTTCGGAAGAATAAGTGTGACAAAGGACTTATGAAAGAAGATGTTATCCACCTCCAGAGAAAGAAATGCCAAATAGGATGGGTTTGGGGGGGGGGGGAGAAGAAGGGAGAGAGGGAGACAGTTTAGAACTTAAAATGCATCAAGAAAATAAATCACATTTTTTAAAAAGTGTAGTTCCCACCTTTATCTATACTTTATTTCTGAAATTTCAGTTTCATATGGGGGAACTTATATAGAGCATATATTCACCTGTTTATGAAAAAATACTCCAACAATTATAATCTATGTTGGTGAATTTAACAGACTGCAATCCTTCCAAAAAGGTGCTAGGATTGAGATCAACAATAATTTAAGCAGTGGACAGATAGTTTGTGAACTAGTATGGCCAACTAAGGTGGAGGAAGAAGGGCAGTTAAAGGGAAAACTTTTAAGATTTCCTCTTGGGGGGGGCCTTTATGATGTTTTATATTTTAACATAATACTTCATTTTCCATTAAGACAAAAAGAAAAGCCAAAAACCTTTAGAAAAGTGAAATGTGTCTTTTAATTTCATGAATCAATATTTAAATATTTCACATCTGTAAGCTAATTATTAACTACTGCTAATGGTTTCATGTACCTCAGATTTAACAATGACCCCGTCCCTGCTCTTTAGTAGCTAATTTTATACTTTGAGGGAAGCAGATAATTCCTACCACTTTTTAACGCTAACAGTCTACTACTGTTAAATTTTTAAAACTGTTTTGAGAATTAAAAGCAAGCCAAAAGCCCTCTTGAGATAAGGTAAGAATCACTATCTGAGTTAGTACTCTCAGAGCTTTTTTAAAAGCCAGAAGAACAGGGATCCACTTGCTGGTGAGAAGCTCTTCCTCCAAATCCCCCAGAATCCAAACTCAGAATGAGCTGTGCTTCTCAAGAGATGATTGAGGGTCTGGTACTCTCACTTCTGACTCTTAGCTTCCCATTCTTAAGATGGGATCTTGGGGTAGCTATTGGAAAAGGTGGCCACCTTTAAGCTCTGTTTCAGGATAAATTTCTTAACTGCATTTTCTAAGCTGGCTTTACTTAAGCTTGCTAGAGTGAAAAATAAAAAAATTTCAACCAAAAAAAAAAAAGGCAAGACATTCCATTCCCTAAAACTTTTCCTTCCCAATATGGATGTATTTGTATAAAAATGAACTCACATAAAAATTATCTTCCTGTATACTTTAAGTACAGCTTAAAGCACAAAAAACCTGAAGCATTCTAAAGCATGCCATGTCAGCACGCCATTCTTCAAAGAAATTAGTTTTGAAGTCTTATTCAATGCCTCCAGAATAAGGAATACATAATGGAAATATCACTGGAACTGTCTGAAGCAATGCTATTAAGCTATAGGCTGAGGGTTACAAATGATTCTTTCCTGGCTAGCTGCTTTACTATGTGGGACACCACTGGTTATGTTCCAAGACATGACTTCATCACATCTGTGTGTGAACAACATTCATCCAGGAGCACACTGTCCAAGTGGTGGAAGACTGATTTGTTAATAAGCTTTTGGTAGTATATCACAAACTAATACAAAGTACACCCACTCATTTATGTAGTAATTTAACTGGTAATTCAAGTTTTTGGTAGTGTTAAAAACCAGTATTTTATCATTATGAAGTAACACAAAGTATAAAAATCACTCATTTATATCACATTTAAGGTTTGCAAATATTTAGTGAAGGCATCACTGAAAGACACTAAGGTTTTTGCTATCAGTTATAAATAATAAAATAATAAAATGAATAATAAATTGAACAATAAAAATTAACATCAATTATAAGAGTTTAAAGAACAGAAATAAAAGTTTACTTGCAAGCTGTGGTGTAGTTGGAGATAGGGACCTGGGTTAGAATCCAGCTCTGCTATGTACCTCCTGAGTGATGAAAGTACTCCTCAATAAAATGAGGGATTTTAACTAAATGGCCTTCTAAGTCCATTCAGTTTTAAACATGAGATCCTGAAGGCACAGGGCATTATTTTCAAAATAGCCTTTTAAAATTAAAATCCATAATAATAACTATTTAGGATTATCATGGCACTTGCTTTTTGAATCATCATGGACTCCTCCGGCAGTCTTGGTGAAACCCTTTCTCATTGAAAAAAAAAATTTTTTTTTGTATAAAATACCACCAAAAAATTGTTTTCTCCTCTTAACTGATAAGAGTTCATGTTCATACAACTAAAATAAGAAAGCTAAGGTTTATCTAGTTTGTAATGATCAAAGCATAATTTATTGTGACTGTGACTGAAAACATTAGATCTACTAGGAAACACTGCGGTCTTTTGAGTCTGAAAAATTCTGGTGTTAAAAACAAGGATCTCCCTGTTCTGAAAAATGGCTTAATAAAAGAAGAGAATGAAATTGAAAGGGGAACGCAGGAAGACAAGGGTGGAAAGGATATTGGAGGCTGCAGTCTTGGTCTCTTAGTATAAAACTGCATGCTGAACTTCTTTACATATCCCCAGCTCCAATGGCAAAAGATGGAACCTCTGGAGTGGAAATCCCTCCAGGTTCTTTGATTTGTAATTGTTGTCATTATTTACTTAGCCTATTTGTAGGATTGCTTTAATTTGTAGACAGACACAAGATACAGCCCCAAAACCCATTCCTGGTTACTGAACACCCTATTATCCTATTAGGGCTGATAGGTGCTCCCATGTCCTCTGCCACCTGGTGGCAAATGGTTTTGTGCAAATGACAGGTAGACCCAAATATACTTACTCTTGCAACATTGCAACTTGTGGAGGGGATACTGAGTTCATTAGTGGGGGTGACATTTCTTCAGGATAATAATCTGTCCTCTGTGGTTCAATCCCAGGCTCTATTTTTATTTTTTTCTGTAAAACAGGCTTCTCATATGATTCAATTACAGGTACTGGATGGGGAGAAAAGAGAAAGTGAAATCAATTTAAGAAACCTTGCTGAAAAATGAAAATTTACCAATCTCATTGTGAAAACACTTTTTGAATAGCCATTATTTCTAAACCAATGATCTACTCCCCTATCACAAAAATGACAGAAAGAATGAAGTACTGGGTAAAAATCTCACTGAAACGTGTATTTCAGTGACTAATTATTTTGCCAGAAAGAGGCATCCAAAGGTTTTGAAAATATCCCATCCACCTTCAAGCCTCCTGCCATTTACCAGCTGAAGGATAAAGGATGTAAACACGTGCACAGTTATTCTGACAATTCCCTACTTTCAAAAGGTATTTAAAAAATGACTACTGGCTTTACATTAAATGCCTACATGCACACGGAGCTGACCTCAAGCATTCTGGAGAGTAATTCATAGCCATGGTCCCCGGTAATCTCAGCAATCTTCTATTGCATCAGAAGCCACATTGATGTGTTTTATTGGGCTTTCTACCATCAACACTTTAACAAAATTATTTTTTACACATTTTAGATGAAGTCTACCATCAACATCTTTTCATGCTTCAACTGCTCCTGGCTCCTTTCCTTCTTTATCCAGAATTTCTCTTTCTCAGATGCACACCTCAAGTCTATGAGTCACTGGCCCACAGCATCCTATGTCACGAGAAGGTCTTACCTTGCATGCTACTTGTATTTTCCAATTCATCAGCTAGAACAGTAGACACCATTATAGGCTGCTGAAGGTGACTTGCGTACATGAAAGGTACAGGTTGCACAACAACCGGCTGTATAACTGGAAGGATCCCAGGGCTTCGAATGCCGTGTCTAGAAAGAGCTGCCATCACGGGAGGGATTGACAATGGCACGCTGAAGGGCTGTACACCAGGCGGAGGTGGGGTGAACTTTTTCATAGGTGGGCTAGGTGAAGGCATAGTTAATCCAGGTGAGGCTCGCCTATGAGAAGTCTGAAATTTCAGTGGGGAAGGTGAACTTCCGGCTGAAGGTGGGGAACTTCGCTTGTTCACTGTGAGATCAACTGGTTCCATCTGGATTCCATTAGAAGGAAGGCCTTCCGAGGTCGGGTAGAATTTATTGTGTAACATGTTCGGTGCAGAATAAATGACACTGTACTTGTTGGATTTCATATGTTCCATGAAATTAGATGGATATGACTATTTAAGGGGAAAAAAAGACTGTTAACAAAAAAAAATATGCATATTGGAAGAAAAATACTGATTTTTTAAAAACAAGTTTGATAGTTTAAAATTTGGAGCTATATCCCAAAGCTGCTAACTACATATACCTTTGACCCAGTCAGTACTATACTCCCAGAGTTCAAAGTAAAAGGGAAAAGGCTCATATATATAGCAATTGTTTTTGTAGGATCCCCAAAATGGAAAACTGAGATGGTGCCAACCTTTTGGAGAAGGGCTAAATATACTGTGGTATATGAATGTAATGGACTATTATTTTGCCCCAAGTAATGATGAAATGAATAGTTTCAGAAGAAAGTGGGAAGATATCTAAAATCTGATGCAGATACAGTGAGCAGAATTAGGAGAACAATTTGTATTACAGCATTTTCGAGAAAAACAACTTCGCAAGACTTTAGGACTTTTGGTTAATGCAATGATAAACTATGAGTCCAGAGTACTGAAGATGAATCACACCACCCACCTCCTACCAGAGACGTGAGGGACTTAAAATCCAGGATTCGACCGGGCCAGTATGAGAATTTGTTTTGCTGGACTATGCATATTTGCTGTGAGAGCTTTTGTTTGTTTTTGTTATGTTCAATGGGGTTGAGGAGAAAGCAGTGAGAGGGAGAGACATTTTTTTTTAAAAAAAAGCTTAAAAGCTTTGGCTCCACAAATAACTACTAGACACATTGTCCTAAGATACACTTTTTGAGCGAGATCAACAAAAATTAGAAAGCCAAAGAAGTGTGGCCAACATGGTTCTAAAAATGCACGGAGAACTCAAATAGAATTCTTTGCAGATCCCCCTATTTCCAATTAAATTGAGGTGTGGAAACAGCAGCTAGATGGCCCAGTGGATGAAGCGCTGAGATGGGAGATAAGATCTGAGTTCGAAACCAGCTTCAGACACTTACTAGATGATAGTGGTGACTGCCATTACTAATGTGATCCTGGGCAAGTCCCTTAGCCCTTCACCTATAAAATAGTAGAGTAATAATAGCACCTATCTCCCAGGGTAGTTGTGAGGATTAAATGAGATAATATGTAAAGTGGTCTTGATTTTTAGCATTTGACAAAAATCTCTTAAGGTCTATCTTGTGGATAAAAATGGAAATGTGGGCTGGACTTAAATATTGAGTGGGATGAAGAACTGTACCCAAAGAGTACTGAGTAATCTCAGGATAATGTAGGGATTATTCTGGTTATCTGCTCTTGATTCTGCCCAGGTTCTACATTTTTAACAATCACCAGGATTGAGGTACAGAAGATCCACTTATTAAAGATGTAAATGACACAAAATTGGACCTGACAGCTCAGCATGAAGCAATGGAGTGATGCAACTACTCAAAAAGAAAGAAAGAAAGAAAGAAGCTAATGCAATCATAGGCCACGTGAATACTGGTAGGATATCCAGACTATGGGAGGTACAGTCTGACGTCCACAGTGCTGTAATTAATTCTGGGTGCTACATTTTAAGAACTGGATGATGAATTGTTTTGAATCCAGGAAGGAAGAGGAAATGGAGAAAAAGGGAGCGAGAGAAGAAGGAAAGCAGGAAATAAGCATTTATTAAGCACCAACTAAGTGCTTTACAAATATCACCTCATTTGATCCATAACAAGCCCGGGAGGTAGCTTCTATTAGTATCCCCATTCTACAGTTGAGAGAACTGAAGCAGACAGAGGTTAAGTGACTTGCCCAGGGTTGCACAGCTAGGAAGTATGTGAGGCGAAACTGAACTCGGGTCTTTCTGACCCCAGACCTAGCACTTGATCCACTGTGCCAGCTAGCTGCCTCCACCAAGGAACCGGAGATGTTTCATACTGAAAAGAGAAGGCTAAGAGGAGGGGCTATCTCCGATTATTTGTTGAAGGGATCTCACAGGGTGAAAGGACTACTCTGTATGGGTCCAGAACAGGAAGGCAGATTCTGTTTCGATATAAGTTAAGAACATTCTAATAACAAAAGCACCAATGAGAGGATGGCCTGTCTCATGAAGCAGAATCATGGAACATTGGAGCTGAAAGGGACTGTAAAAACCAAGTCCAATCTCCAGATTTATAGTCTCAGGGAAGTTCTGGAAGCTTGCACTTCAGGGCTCCTTCCCCAACATCAAACTGCCTCCCTATCCCTAGAAACAGGAATCAAGTAGCAGTTGGCTGACCATATCTACATATAATGTTTATAACCATTCCATAGCACCCAATATTTAGAAATATCACTGCACGTCTTATTATTGTCATTAGTAAGAACAGCTGGGGTTTATACGGCTCCTTAAGGTTTGTGGAAGTGTTAGCTCACTTACTTATCGATGGCTGTTCCCAAAGAGTATGTATGTATGTATGTATGTATGTATGTATGTATATATGTATATAAAAACAAGCACAGATAAAATGACGTAACTACACAGTGGCATCTGTATGTACTCTGCATTCAAAATACACAATTTTCTCTTAAAACTCACATATGAATCCACCCTACCAATATGACCAGACTTGAGTAAGGCACAGTGCTGAGTATGCATTTCTGATGTTAATTCTTCATTTCTCTAGCTTACTGCTTTTACATCTCATTGTCCATGACAATAGGATCTGCTTTGTATTATAGGCTTCCAAAGACGGAACAGGAATATAACCTGAGCAACAGAGGTGCACACTAAAACACATGCACACAACAAATGTTTTGGGATGATGGTGAGAGAACCCACCCTTCCATTCTCAATGGATAGATAATATCCAATGGACTTCAATGGATAGATATATCCAAATGCTGCCTAGAATGAGGTTTAACATTATGTTAACTGCTTAGCTGCACTAATTGGAGGGAGAAGGTTTAAAGAATATCAAAGAATGGGGGGCAGCTAGGTGGCTCAGTAGATAGAGCACCAGCCCTAGAGTCAGGAGGACCTGAGTTCAAATCCGGCCTCAGACACTTGACAATTACTAGCTGTGTGTGACCCTGGGCAAGTCACTTAACCCCACTGCCTAGCGTAAAAAAAAAAAAAGAAAAAAAGAGGAATATCAAAGAATGGAATCCAAAAATAATTTCTATTTGGTCTGGGAATGTAGTCAAATCTATCCTTATCCCCCCCAGACACCGCCTTCCACACTGGCTCTGCCCCACAAAGTGTACCATCTAACAGGGGTGGGGAACCTTCAGCCTTAAGGCCACACGTGGCCTACTAGGTTCTTAAGTGAGGCCTTTTGATGGAATTCAAATTTTGCTTGGCCAGGTCCCCTACCCCTAATTTCAGGTGGTGAGGAAACCCTGGTCCCGGCAGGCAGATAATCTATTCGTAGATAAGAGTGTTTAACAAATGACTACAGCTACATATAATGCTAGAAGTTAGCTCTCCCAGCCTAAAGCAGCTGCCACACCCACAACACAGCCAAGTTCCTTAATTATAGACCTGGCTCTTAAGAGTTTCAGAGTAATCTAATTTTAGTGTAGTTTAAACTTTTTGGAAAGACAGAAGGCCTGGCCAGCGCTCCTGGTGCACTGAGGTTTAGATGTACCCTACATTGCCTGATGAGAGTCAGGGAATTTGGGTATTTAAATCCTATTTCTTCCACTTCCTAGTTGTGTGACCTTAGACAAGTCAGTTGTCTGGGTCCCAATCTCCTCATCTATACCAATGACGGGTGTTGGCCTCGATGATCTAACCACCCTCTAAATTGATGGTCTTGTGAAATACAGTTCCCTGTGGGTTTAGATGATACGGAAATTCTCGTCGCAATGAAGTTGGATATTCTTATGGGAGAGAAAAAAAAAATAAACCCTTAAACAGAATTAAAAGATGGCAAATTTTCAAAAATGACATTGCCTTGTTGGTTTCCACCATTTCCAATTCTAAATAAGAAAGTGAGATGCAATGAGAGCCAGCCTTGGAGCCAGGGAGACCTGGGTTCACGTTCTTGCCTCTGACACATACTGAATGATCCTAGGTTAAGTCTTTGCCTTTCAGAGCTCTGGGCAGAGAAGGGGCCTAACCTCATTGGTTGAAGGAGTTTCCTTATCTGGGAATTCCCCATACCAATGAAATAAATCTTAGGTCCAAGTCTCTATGTCAATAATTTACACTATTCCCACCTGAAAACTGGGAATGTATGAGGCAGCTAGGTGGTGCAGTGGATAAAGCACTGCCCCTAAAGTCAGGAGGACCTGAGTTCATATTTGGCCTCAGACCAAACACTTGACACTTACTAGCTGTGTGACCCTGGGCAAGTCACTTAACCCCAATCGCTTACAAACAAACAAACAAACAAATAAATAAATAAATAGAAATAGAGGATGTGGAAAAACAACCTCACAACGCATGCAAATTTCCATTTAAAAAATGCCAATACTTCAAGGGTCTATGATTTGGTAGGTGTGGATGCTCCCTCTACCTTATAAATCTCTGCAACTGGGTGGGTAGGTAGGTAGTCTTCAAGAACATTCATGCTGGTCTCTGGCGAGGCTGACCCTCATCACTGGCACAGACCTAAAGTCTTCCTAGCTTGGCAGGGCCTGCTAGAGCTTGCATTCGAATGGCAAACTTTGAGAACACAGGGTCACCTCCAGGTCATGAGGAGGCATCTGAGCAGGACTTCTGTGGCAGCAGCTATGATTTACACAGAAACCGATTCCCCCTCCCCCAAACCCCAAAGATACAGGACCAAGGACCCAGTACCACAACAGAAGGCATGAAGCCAGAAACAGCACCAGGTTCAATGCAAAGTCAACAAAAGACTATAATAAGGAATGTACAGTGAGGGTTTAAGTTTATGGACTGCAATTAAATACAGCACAATGGGAACAAAAAAAAGTTTCCATCAATCTGAGGTCTCACTAAAGACAAAAGTCTTGCTTGGATCATAAACTTTACAAAAATGAAGAACAATTTCTAATTGTTTTGATTCAGCAATGAACAATTTTCCTCTCATAGTTTTCACCCCTTTTTCTCTCTGCCCTAATAAAATTGCAAGTAGCTA